CGTCGTCGTCGTGGTCGTCGTCGTCGTCGTCGTCGTCGTCGTCGTCGTGGTCGTCGTGGTCGTCGTCGTCGTCGTCGTGGTCGTCGTCGTCGTCGTCGCCGTCGTCGTCGTCGTGGTCGTCGTGGTCGTCATCGTCGTAGTCGTCGTCGTCGTCGTGGTCGTCGTGGTGGTCGTCGTCGTCGTGGTCATTGTGGTCGTCGTCGTCGACGTCGTCGTCGTGGTCGTCGTGGTCGTCGTGGTCGTGGTCGTGGTCGTCGTCGTCGTCGTCGTGGTCGTGGTCATGGTCATGGTCGTGGTCGTCGTCGTCGTCAGTCGTGGTCGTCGCCGTCGTCGTGGTCGTGGTCGTCGTCGTGGCCGTGGTCGTCATCGTCGTGGTCGTGGTCGTCGTGGTCGTCGTGGTCGTCGTGGTCGTGGTCGTGGTCGTGGTCTTGGTCGTGGTCGTCGTCGTGGTCGTCGTCGTCGTCATCGTCGTCGTCGTGGTCGTCATGGTCGTCGTCGTCGTGGTCGTCGTCGTCGTCGTGGTCGTGGTCGTGGTCGTCGTCCTCGTCCTCGTCCTCGTTCTCGTCCTCGTCGTCGTCCTCGTCCTCGTCGGCGTCGTCGTCGTGGTCGTCGTGGTCGTCGTGGTCGTCGTCGTCGTAATCGTCGTCGTCGTCGAGAGCCCCAAGGCTTCCCCTCGGAGAGGCCCGTGGCTGCCTCCGCCCCGAGGGGGGAGGAGGAGGAGGAGGAGGGAGGAAGACGAGGGAGGAAAGATCGTACGCTCCTCCTCCTCTTCCTCCTCCTCCTCTACCTCTTCCTCCTCCTCTACCTCTTCCTCCTCCTCCTCCTCCTCCTCCTCCTCCTCCTCCTCTTCCTCATCCTCCTCCTTCTCTTTCTCATCCTCCTTCTCCTTCTCCTCCTCCTCGAGGGCGTGGCCACCCAAAATGCCCCCCGCGAGGCCCAGGGAGGCCCAGAAAGGGGGACGGAATGCAGCAGGGGACACGTCGGCCCAGGGGCACACCCGTCCGCACGCGAGGAGAGGCAGAACAGGCAGCAGAGACCCTTCTGGCCCTGCCTGACTTTGCGCGCCACCAATTCTCGTGGCAGGAGGGGGGGGACCTGCAATCAGCGCCCCTCTAACGGGGACTCCACTAACGGTCACTTTGGCCAGTGACCCGGCGAACCCAACCCTCCCCGATGTGGGCAACGCTGCAATGCCCGAAAGAGGCCCTAAAGTGGCAACTTTCGGCAAATCCCCGAAGTACCCGTTAGTGAGTACCAGTTGCGGTGCCGCTGATGCAAATACAAGCAGGACGCGCCGGAGGCGCAAGGGATATTTGACGCCGTCGCGGCAGATGCAGAGCCCGTGTGCTTCGAGGGACAGCTGAAACACATCACGCCATGTCCGTCCCCATGTTGCTCTGTGTTGCCTAGAAGTATGCACCTGTTATCTGATCTGTGCCCGCCACCGTGCCACTAGGCACTAAGTGGAGTGTCCTCAGGTCCCTTCGAGCTCTCTGTATTGAGAAATATAATATAAAATTCGTTGAACGGTCAAGAGCCACAAGGAGTGGATTTCTTAGGGTCGTTCCGCGTGACTCATGGGGCGTGTCGAGTGACTTCTCCTGAAGCAGAAAGCTCCAAGACGGGCAAAGAAGCTCCCAAGAGCCAAGAGGGCCCAAGGACGGTCCAGGAGGCCTCGATACTGCCCAATAGCGCTTCAAGAAGGCCCAAGAAGCCTCCGAGACGCCCTAAGGAGGCTCCCAAAGGACCCCCCAGAGGGCCCCGAAAAGCCAAAAAGTGTTGACGTTTCTCTGGCGGTTGAAAGGTTTTGGGGTGCTCGCGCCGTCGAAGCTTCAGAGCCACCTGATCAAATCAAAAGGCCCACAGGGGGTCCCAAGACGGTCCAAGGGGGCCCGAAGACGCCCCAAGAAACTTCCACAAAGCCCCAAGAGGGGGCAAGAGGAGGGAATCGAAGACGACCCAAGACGGCCCAAGAGGGTCAAACAAAGACCCCCGATACGGCCCCAAAATGCCAGCGCTCCAAGACGGCCAAAGAAGCCCCAAAAGTCGCCCCAAGGCGGCCTAAGACGCCCCAAAGCGGGCCCCAAGACGGCCCAAGGAGCCCACAAAGCAGCCCCAGGAGGGCCCCAGGACGCGCACGAGAGAGGGAGCCCGAACTGACATTTCGAGCCTTCCCCCAAAAATATCACTCCCGAAACCGCCAGCAGGCCCCCAAGAGGCACCACAGAAGGCCGAGGCCCCCGAAGGCCGCCGAGAGGCCCCCAAGAAGCCCCCAGGCGGCCCCAAGACTTGGCGGCGCGCACAAGGGGGTGGGGGGAGGGGGGAGGGCTTCTTAGAAGGAGGCTGCTCCTTAGAAGGCGCCGGTCTTACATCTATTAGAAGGAAGGCGCGCCTTCTAAGAAGCAGGGGTGCTTCTAAGAAGCCCTCCCCTTCCCCCCACCCCCCTCTGCGCGTGGCCGAAAGACGCCCCCAGTAAGCCCCCAAGATGCACCCAAGAGCCCTACAAGAGGCCCCCCAGAGGCATCCCATGAGACCCTCACATGCAGCCAGGAGGCCTCTATCCCACGACACAGGCACGGTGTCGGGATGGGCCGAGAACCCCTAGTCATATGACATCCGCGGAATGACAAGCTGCAGCCAGAAACATAAATGGTAGACCGCACCCACCCTGTAACTTTATTTGACAGGCGTTGGCTGGGGCCGCAACAGCTTTGGAAAAAGCTCAAAACAATGTGTCTGGAACATGATGGCCATGGCTGTAAGATATCGCCAACCCTCGACGCACAGCACCAATCCAGCATGGGGGACAAGGTCCATCCAAGGAAAGACTATTTCAGGCTGAGCAAATGCCGGTGAAAATGGAAAATGGGCACACGCAACGGCGGCGCTCTTCGGCGCTTCGCCTCAGCGGGTCGTCGGAGAAGTCCTGCGGGCGAGCGCGAAAGGTCCGGCCGATTCGAGATGCTTCTGTAAACGGCACGACGGGCAAGCAGGCTGTGGCTGTGCGCTCCGGATTCAGAGGGGGGGAAGGGCCAGAGGGGGAGGGAAAGCAGGGAGAGGGGCCCTCTTGGGCTGTCTTGAAACCGTTTGAAGGCCCCTCAGGCTGTCGTGGTGCCACCCTGGAGGCCTCTTTGGCCATCTTGAGCCGACGGAAACCCAAAAAGGCGAGAATGCGAACAAGCCCAAACGTTGCGAAAAATTGCAACCTCGCGAAACAGCACGACCAGAGCCCTAAGGCCCAAATGTTCTGCGGCATCTATCCGGAGGCCATCGACCTGTGATGGCCCCGGGGCCCGAGACCAGGCGAACAAGCCCAGTGAATTGATCGATCAAACACCACGAATGCCGAAACCTCTCGAAAACCTAAAATAATCCCCCCCCCCCCAAAAAAATACATAAAAATAAAAACAAAAAAAAAAAAAAAAAAAAAAAAAACATGCGGACATCGATCGAAAACCTGAGAGGCAGGGGGGGAGCGAGAGTGATGGCACGGGCGCTGGGTGCGCCCGCGCCACATCTGGCATCCGACCCCTCCCTCCCCTCCCCTCCCGTGGTGCGGACTAGTTGTCCTCTCGCCGGAATGAGTGTCGCGTCTGAACCTTCATGCCTTGGATGGGGGAGGGACGGGGAGGAGGAGCCCGAGGAGGAGGAGTAGGAGGAGGAGGACGACGACTGACGCTAGAAGCTTTCGCTCCGCGGCTTGCCCAAGAAAAGCAGGAGGAGGACGGCGAAGACGTCTCGCACTTCCTTATCCGAACTGGCGGCTGCCTTACCTCGCTTGCCAAGGCCTGAGTCGGCGATAAATATTCCTTGAGGCCAGGCACTGTCTCTCTAGACGCAGCAAGATACAATCTTCATGTCCGATCGACGTCAAAAAGGAGGAGGAGGAGGACGACGACGACGAAGACGACGGGCTGGGGAGGGGAGGGGAGCAGGAGGGCGGAAGAGGAGAGGAAGGGCGCAGGAGCGCCAGCGACGCGAGGAGGCGAGGCAGGACGAGGCCCCGAGGGGGCGGCGCGAGAGGCGGGGCGGAGGGCGGGCGCCCGCGCGCGGAGAGAGAGAGAGAGCACCCCCGAGGCCGCCGAGGGCCGCCGAGGGCCGCCGAGCGCATGCGGAGACTGCAAAAACTTCGAGCCTCGAGGCCTCGGGGGCGGCCAAGGAGGGGGGGGGTCCACAGGGGGGGGGGGGGCGCAGAGCATGGCCGGCGGCAGGTGCGCGGCCCAGGGGGGGGGCCGGGGATGCACGGAGAGAAGAGGGGGCGCCATGAGATCTGGAAAGATAGCATGGCCCCCGCCATGGTATCCACACATACACCCCTAATCGTCACCCCCCTCTTTGCCGCCCCCGACCCTCTGCAGAGAGCCAGCGCTCCAACAAAAAAATCGGGGATGGACAGAACCCCCTTTAAACGTGGTTTAGTGAAAACGACCTCTGGCCCAAACCTGGCGGGCGCCAGCCTGGAAAATGACGGCCGCGGCGCCCTCTCGAAAACCGACAACGGACAATTCACTGATCGACGTGTCAGGGTGGGGACTCTATCCACCCCCGAACAAAAATTGGGGCGGGCGGTTGGGGGCTGTCTTCGGCCTCCTGGGGGCCCTCGCCGGACCCTGCTCGAACTTCGGACCCCAAACCTCGAACCTCGAAGCCCCCGACGCTCCAAAAAGATTGGGGCGGGCGGTTTCTGGGTGTTTTCGGCCTCCCGGGGCCCTCGGCGGACCCAAGGACCGCCCAAAAACGCCCCAGAACGAACATGCAGGCCCAGGGAGACACGGGGAGATAGGGCGGAGAGGCGGGAGACGGCGTCAGAAGGAATTGGCCAGGAGGAGGAGGAAGATGAATGGGGGGAGGAGGAAGGCTGGAGGAGCGTGGAGCGTCATGCAGGTGGCGGTGAACGTGGGTGGATGGCACAGGAGCGGAGGCGTAGATTGCCAAATACCAACATGACAATCCCCTCTACAATTTCGGGGGGGGCCGGGTCCAGATCATGGTCATGGGCGGGCTGTCCCAGCAAGGGAGCAACTGGACCCAGGGAAGCGGTCAAGACCCTGGGGCCCACGCACTGCGAAAATTGGGGCAACCAGGCGTCTGGGCACCCTGGGCCCATCTCCCCTCACGCTGAACCTCTCCCCCATTGATGCACGGTTTCCCCCGGGGCCGTAGGCGGGGGCCGTAGGCGACCCGAGGAGAAGGAGGAGGAGGAGGAGGAGGAGGTGGAAGACGCGGAAGGGGAGGAGATGGAGGAGATGGAGGAGGAGGAGGAGAAGGGAACTTTCCCAAGAGCTCTCCCATTCTGACAGGGTCAGAGCTGCAGGAGGGCTTCGAAGAGGCTTCAAGCAGGGCCAACATGGGCAGGCTCCCCACCTCAGGCCAGCTAGTCCCCACTGGGCGGGGACGCTGGCCCACTGTGGGGAGGCGCGCCTACCAAGCACCTCGGCCGCCCCATTTGAGAGGGCGGCCGTTCGAAACTCGTGATAGCACCCAGGTTTTCATCCTTGACGGGGATTGCCCGTCCTGACACTTACACTTCTCCGCGAGGCCTCGAAGTGACCCCTTTTCCCAAGAGTATTCTGCACCCGCGCTTCGAACAAATCCACTAGGGCTCATAAAACACAAGGGTGTGTGACGGGTGGCCAAGCCTAGTACCCGCCGCAATCAGGCGCTGCTGGGGTTGCTCTCGGGGGGGGCCAAGGCATTCGGAGGCTAACCAAATATTCAAATGCTGATCATTTGACAATTTACAGGCTGAGCTCTGACAAAGCGAGCAGGACCACCTAAATTTTGAATCCATAAGCTGGACGTTCGAAACTGCTTGGGCCTGGGCCAGGGCGCACTGTCTAGATCTTCTCAGGGCTCTTCTGACCTGTCTCGCCGAGGGGGGGCCGAAGCTTCACTGCCAAAAGCATCCAAGGTGGCTCTTAAAATCCTGTTTCTAATTCTAACACCTGTGGCGACAGCCCATTTATAACAACTAAATCTAGCTGGTGGGATGGCATGGTCACTGGCTGCTATCCCTACAAACTCATCTGCAACTGTGTTCCCCTGCCATGCTGCCAGGGGCACGCCTCTGGCCGGGGCCTCCTCCCAGGTCTGGTGGCTGCGCGTGAAGAAGACCTGCACGTCGGCCTCGCCTCTGTCAGCGAGGGCTGTCGCGATCTGTTCACACAGATCTCCGAGCACACTCCATCCCCCAGGCCGTCGGTGTCTGCCACGCCGCCAGCTCCTGCAGAAGATCTCTGAATCTGCCCAGAAGTGCATCGGGCCTTGCGTGCGCCACGGGGCCGACAACAGCGCCGTGATCTCTGCGCGGTCGTTGGTTTGCCGCGGCCCCGCCAGCGGGCCCTCAGCTCCTCCTCGAATCGACGGCCCCAGCGGCTGGGAGGTGCCCAGGGCGATCCAACTCCAGCCACAGCGCTGATATCTCTCGTCATCTGCATCTTTTCCGCCGCCGCCGTCGCCGCAGACTAGCAAGGGCTGCCCTTGGGCCGCGATGAGGCGCCTCTCCGAAGAGCGTCTCCGCGAAGACCGCGTCGCAGTCTGGCGGCGTGGCCCACGCCTTCGGCGGGGCCCCCATCAACCACATGCTTGGACAGAAGTGCTGCCCAAACACAGCCATGACTAGGATTTCCTGGGACTTCTCGAAGTCTGGGCGATCTGGCCTCGCACTGCACTCCCCCCAGATTCTGTGGATGTCGCCAGCGCGCTGGCCGCAGGAGCAAAGCCCATTGCCTGCGAGTTCTTCCCCAAAGAGGTCAGTCTTCCTCGCCGGCGCCCAGGCCCTTGCTGTCATGGCTGTTAAGAAGGCGATCGCGCCTGGCAATCTCTCGTTCCTCCTCAGCTTTGCCAGCGTCCTCTTTGCATCTGAAATGCCAACTCCATTCTCCATCCCTTTGCCGAGATAACCTCTGGATGCTGCCTCCCGCAATTCGAGTTCAATGTCCGACAAGATAGCCGCGATGATAATCGCAGGGTTACGCTCGGCATCCCCGGGCGTCATTTCCCCATCACCACCATTCGGGTCACTCCATCTCGCAGCCGCCTCGGGATCCAAGCCTGCTTCCCAAAAGTCAAAGTCAACGAGCCGATGAACCCACGCCTCTGCCTCCAGCGCTGCTGGAGTGGTGCTCTGCGTAGACGATCGCATATGTTCTGCCACACTCTGGAAATAACACAACGAAGGGCGGCACGATGCGCATACAAATCAAACCAAGCTCGCAGCTGAGCCTTCGGAATCTCCGGCGCTGGATCCTTGCCTCCGGGCTTCAAGAATGTCGTCGCGCATTTGCCTGGCCGAGGGCCAGCAAGCGCGGCAACGAACCTCTGGCGGGCACGGCGCGGCGCTGCAGGAGCTTCTCCATGGGCCCGCATATCATACATGAGTGCTGGCATTGATCCTTGACTCAAAATTGTCATCCTCGTCTCTCTTCTCAGCCTTTAACTTCTTACCCAATGATGTCATACGTTTTTGTAAGCCTTAGTTATCCTGTCCGCGCGTGCCGCTCGTCTCCTCACTCTGCGCGCAGCCCTGTCAATGCCCAGGTATCTGGCCTCTCGGGCCGCACGAATGAGCACGCCCTTTCGTTTGAGCCTGCCCGTGACGCGCTTGGCCTAGGCCCAATCGGAATCGGAGCTGATGGTCACGCTTTTGTCTGCCTGCTCGAGGCCCTCGTCATCGAAGGCGCTCTCGAGCGCGACGGTGGAGCTGACGATTGCGCCCTCCACCGCGCTCGCACTGCCGTATACCGCGGCGCTCACGTCGTCACACAGCGCCCCGGGGTTGGCCCGAGGGGCCTGGAGGGCCACCTTGGACAGCACCCTGTAGACCACAGCTCGGGCAAGATAGTTCGCATGTCTCGACCCTGCCAGGAGTGAGGCGACGGCCCGGCAGGGGTCGCCATTGGCCCCTTCTCCCCGAAGGAGCCGCGGTACTGCATGCATCTGTATTTCCAGTGCCAGCACGCGCATCGGGAACCCCAAGCAATCGCACGTCGCGGGCACCGTCGGAACCGCCAGGCTGTCGTAGAACCTTCTGATGTCCGCCAGTGAGACCGCCGACGCAATCGCCATCGCATCGGCCGCCCCGTCCTGCAGCGCCCTCGCGAGCGCCTCGCGAAGGCAAGAGGGGCCCTTGAGCGGGGCGCCCCAGTGCTGCGACGCCTCGCGCACCCAGAGCTCCACCGTCGGCCTTGCGAGCATCTGCCAGCAGCGGATCGGCCACGCGATCAGCGCCACGGCCCTGTCCCAAGACTTCTTGGGCTCCAGCATGACGATGGCCTGCAGCAGCTGGAATGGCCACGCCTGTCTCTGCTCCACGGGCCGCCGCAGGGAGGCGGCACACATCGCCCGCAACATGCCTGTCGACGCCTCTGCCCCTATGAGGCTGGAGGCGGGGGGCCCGGTCTAGATGGCGCCCAGACATGGCGGGGCCCCTGTCGAGCCTGCCCCCCGACTCGAGCCAAGGCGGCCACGGAGTCGCGAGACGAAATTCGTCTCGAGGGCTAAATCCCTTCGAAGACATACGTTTTAATGTCAATATTCTCTGGCGGCGAAGTGCCAGTCTCGCCACCGCGGACTACTTCATCTTCAAATCTGGGGCGGGGTTTCGCAACCCCATGCAACTTCCCGGGCTTGGCGAGGGATGGGTCCTAGAGCCAATCAGCCCACGCGCGCGACTCCGCGTCAAAATCACGCACGCTGGCTTCGGCGATTTCGTCGGATGCCTGGAGCGCCACGCGCAGGAGGGCAGGATGCTCGACCTCGGGAACGCACGAGAGCCGCCCAATCCAAACAGCACGGCGGAGGCGCGCCTTTCGGAGCGGGGCCCCCACCTCCCGACGGGACCCCCTTTGCGCAGGTCTCTGGGCTATGTTGCGAAGCACCCGCTGCTGCTGACGACCTTTCTTTTTCTCGGCCGACGCGCCGTAGAGTTCGAGCGCGTTCGCCACTCTCGACCACTAGCTGGCGCGGTAGCTCTGATATCGGGGCCCACGGACCCCTCGCTCCCTGACCTCCTGCTCCGTTTACTTGAACTTACGGCCCCCCCCGCGGAACCCCCTGGCGCCCTGATCGGGCACGGCGTAAGCCTCGATGCAGAGGTCACCCACCCTCTGCATGGGCTGACCGCACTCAGCGCCCAGAGCGACGGCGTCCGACGGGCTCGCACGAAGGGCAGGGCACCGTGCAATGCGATCAGGGGCGCAGTCTAGCTTGGGACGGGGGGACTATGATGCTTCAGCCCAGAGCTCTGCTCATCGAGGGCACCCGTGGCCAGGGCACCAGCGGCGGCGCCGTCCGCAGCGGGCGCCCCAAAATCTCTCGGCGAGCCAACAACCGCAGTAGACAGGTCCCCGCCAGGCCTGGGGAAAACCAACCGCACGAGACCTCGGGCTCTTGAGGGCCTGTAGGTTGGCTGCTGGGCTCCCCCTGCTCGAGCTCCAGCATCGGGCCGGCGTCGGCCTCGTCGAGGCCCGCAAGGTTCCCCCGCGGAAAATGCGGCCACACTGCGGGCCCTAAAGCTCCCCAACGTCGGCTTCGCAGCTCTCGCTCAGTTAGCTCCGCATCATCTGCTTTTTTGGAGGCGGTGGGGGCAGCAGCAGCGGCGGCAGCCGCCGAGGCCGAGGGCGAGGGCAGGGCGCATGTATCACGCAGGCGCCGTTGCCGCTTGCTGGTGGGATGGGCCTCCTTCTTGCGAGGCGGGTGGGCGAACGGAGCAGGCATGCCCAGCGATCTCGCAAGCGCGGGGATGACGGATGCTCGGAGCGTGAAAACCTGACCGACGCGGGGCTTCTGGGGGACTAAAACTGCTTCGAGGTTCCTGGAATAGGGGGTCGCTTCGGGGCTCATCAACACATTATCTATTAGGGAGAGCTGGCTACCCCTTCTGAGGCAAGTGCAACCTTCTTCCAGCCACGCTACGGTGCCATCCAACTTGGCTGGCCACCTCGACTTCCAGAACCGTTCGGGGGGGGGGGGGGGCATTGAAATCTCCTGCAACTATCCGAGGGTTCTTTACACTGCTCATGAAGGCCCCCATGGGGGCAAGCTTGGCAGCATTCTGACCAGCAAATCAGCTCGCACCCTCAAGGCACAGGCCCACTAGCGCGACGCTGACTCCCTTCGGGCGCCACGCGACGGGCATCCCATCTAAGAAAGAAAAAGTGGGGCCCCTCTTGCCCCGACTCACCTTTACGGCGCTCTGAGGCACAGCGTGGGCGATCCAATTCACGAAACATAATGCACTGGCGGCGCGCTCGCACAGCCGCGCGCGCATCACCTCGCGAGCCTCTCTGAGAGGTCTCGCTCTGGCGAGCGGCAGAGAAGGCGGTATTCAGGCCCCGGCCTCTCACCTCCTGCTCCAGATCTGCCAGTTGAGGTTGCTTGACGTGAGTCTCCTGCAGCATGACGGCATCGTAGCAGTCGATCGACTCACGGATGAATCTGCAGGCGGTGACTCCCCACCCTGCAATGTTCCCGATGGGAACCTGCCTCGTCGCGCGCTCCCACTCGGGAACAGCGCGCGAGCGCCCTGGGCGACCATGGCCCCGTCAGACAGGGGCGGGCGGCGCCCCAGCCGCCTCGCGCTGGGATCGCGCCGCCTCGATGGGGCCCCTGCTCCGCGATCTCTCTGGCCCGCTCCTTTTTTCTGCTCCTCCGCGCTGGCGGCGTCCGCGGCAGCTGGGGCGGCAGCTGCAGCGGCTGCGGCCGGGGCAGCAGGAGGCGGGCCGCCGCCCGTGCTGCTGGCACCCCTGGGGGCGGGGCCATCTCTTCCTCGTCGGACTGGGCGGTCTCGGGCTGCATCTGCTCAGCAGGCGGCTGCTCCCCATTCGACTCCGCCCGGATCGATGCTGCCTTATCTGCAGCTGCCCTCTGCCTAGCTGACTTCAGGTGCGCTTTGAGCTGGATCATGAATTCGGTGGTTCTGCCTTTGAAGTCGTTCAGCATATTCTCTTCGGCTTTATTCACCTCTGCGATGGCCTCTTCGTCGACCTCGCCCGCATTGATGTCAAGGGCCACGTCTATGTCTTTGAGCTTATCCTTCTCTAGGGCGTCGGGATCCAACGCGAGTACGTCGCGCAGGAGCGAAGGTTTCTTGCCGTCCTGGCTCTCGAGCCTGATGGCCTCTACCTCCGACGCTGCCTGTGCGACTGCGGCGGCATTCTCCTTCAGACCAGCCTCCAGCTTCTCGAGGCGCTGCTTGGCCTCCTCTCGCGCGCTGAAGGCCTTGTCGTAGGGCTTGTTCTTCCGATCCAACTCCCAGGCCGCGTTTGCCAATCTCGTGGCAGTACTGACCTTCGGCGGGGACGGTTTGGCCGCCTCGGCGATGGCGGGGACCACTTTGGCGAGCTGCTGGGACAGCTCTGGCTTGATGGTGTCCGCGCTGAGCTTCGCCGACACATCCTCACGGCCCTTCACGAGGCCGTCGTCCTTCGCCACGCTCTGCTTGTCTTTGCCCTTCCTGGCCATCTGGGCGCGACAGTCGCAGCGCCAGTCGTTGCTGGGCAACACTGAGTCGTGCTCCCAGCCTCCGCACTTCTTGCATGTCGTCCACTGGTGGGCCCCTTGGCTCTGGCTATACCAAGAGGCGCTCTGCTTGGACGTGGTGAGGAGGACGGGTCGCCTAAGCCCTTCGGGGAAACCCTACTCTCGCCCCCATTGACGCTGCCCCCGAGCTCCCGTTCCCTCCGGGCCAGCGACCGCGGAAGGCGTCTCGGGGTTCTACTGGCCCGGGCCGATGCAAGCCCAAGTCAGCCTCGGGCTTGGCAGGATCCTGCAGATCCTGCAGGATCCTGCGCGCTATCCTTTTTTCTTAGTTCGGAGAGCAAGTCCAGTGGTCAGCATGCACGCGCTAATCTGCCAGATCCTGCGCGCTATCCTAGATCAGTGCAACCCTGACTTTGCAGGATCCTGCAAAATCTGGCGCTCTGGCTGACCCCCGTTTGCAGTGGCCCCCGCCCCGGCGTGGGACAGAGAAAAGAAGAGGGGGAGATCAGAAAGCAGAGAAGGAGGAGGAATTTTGGAGTGGTCAAACGGAGGAACGGGGGGCAGCGAGCGAGCGACCGACAGGCGAATGCCAGTTGGATGACGGAGAGAGGGAGAATAGGGCGGCCAAGTCGGCCGAACGGAGCCGACACCCTCGAAGTGGACTCCTGCCCAACATGGACGCCTCAACAACTCAACTGCCAACGACGTGACATGCAGCTGAAGCAGAAAGCAGCACAACGGAGGAGAGCAGAAGGAGCGGAAAGGATGCGAATCCGGAAGGAGGGTTCGGTGGCAGCTCATGGGAGACTCCCATACCATCTTGTCGGCTCTTGCGAATCGACGCTGGTCCACGTCGAGTCGACGCTAATCGACGCTAAATCGACGCTTATCGACGCTAAATCGGTGCCATCTCATCGATTCCCAAACGCCAATCGACGCTAATCGACGCCACAGACGGAATTGAGAGGGTACACCAGGCTCCCATGATTTGCTACCGGAGGACTGCCTGGCACGGCGGGGCCCCTCCCACAGCGGTCCTCAGCCCGAGGCGCCCTAGAGCACTCTCTTGTAGATGACGACGTACTCGGGGTACGCCTGGCTGCGGCAGCCCGCCGGCGCGCTGAGGGGGGAAAGGAGACGAGGGAACGGGCGAGAGAGCAGAGAGCCCGTCTTATGCTGCATCCTCAAAAAAGACCTTGTCTGCCCCGTCGCGGCCGCATCCGCGTCGAATCCGCGTCGAATCCATGTCGGCCTCGTCGGGTCCGTGTCGAATCCATGTCGAATACGCGTCGAATACACGCCCAAATCCGCGTCGAGCCCGCGTCGGGCACAAGAGAAAACACCAATTTTGGGGACAGGCGAGGTCCCCCGAAGATGCAACGTAACCAGTCGAGGGAGGGGAGTGAGGGGACGGGGCAACGACAGAAGGGGAAACGGAGGGGCGGAGGGAAGGCAGGAGGGAAGGAGGGAAGGAAGAAAGAGGAAAGAGTGACGGGAAGGAGAGGGTAGAAGTCATGGGAAATCCCAGAGGAGAGGAGTAGAAGCGAGGGGGATGAAAAAAAACATAAAGTAGAGTGGGTGGCTGCGCCAATAATATTTTTATAAAGAAACAACAACAACAACAACAACAACAACAACAACAACAACAACAGCAACAACAGCAACAACAGCAACAACAACAACAACAACAACAACAACAACAGCAACAACAACAACAACAACAACAACAACAACAACAACAACAACAACAACAACAACAACAACAACAACAACAACAACAGCAACAACAATAACAGCAGCAACAACAACAACAACAACAGCAACAACAACAACAACATGAACAACATGAACAACAACAACAGCAAGAACAAGAACAACAACAGCAACCACAACCACAACCACAACCACAAAAACAACAACAACAGCAGCAACAACAACAACAACAACATCAACAACAACATCAACAACAACAACAACAGCAGCAACAACAACAACAACTACAACAATCAGTTTAAGACCGTTCGCCCTGATCTCCTCGAGTGTCGAATAACGCGAATTTCCCAAACCCTCGATACCCGCCCTTTTCGTCTTCGATCGAACCCCTTTTGGGGGGTATACCTTTCTTCCCTGCAGGCTGGGCCCCGGCAAGCGGCGGGGCGGCCGCGGACCGTCGGCCTGGCCAGCGGCAGCGCTGATCGGCGGGGCGGCCGCGGACCGTCAACCCGACCCCAACAGGGACGGACAGGGGACCGACCACGACGACGACGACGACGACTTCGACGACGACGGCAACGACGGCGACGGCGACGACGACGACGAGCGAAAGGGAGAGCGAGAGAGAACGACAGCAGAGCCACGAAGGACACGAAGTAGGCCACGAAGGGACACAGCGGGGACACGAAGGGAATGCGTATGGGGCCACGAAGAGCGCGAACGAGCGTGGGCCACGAAGGGCAGATAACGCGGGGCCACAGAAGGCAATGATGGGGCCATTGAGGGTAGCACCTGGGCCACGTAGGACAATGAAGGGGCCACAAACGGCGACAGCGGGGCCACGAAGGGCATGCACATGGGGCCACAACGGGCGCGAACGAGCGGGGGCCACGAAGGGCATACGTATGTTGGGCCGCGAAAGGTACGGACGGGGCCACTGAGGGCAGCAACGGGGACACGAAGGGCAGCGAGGGGGCCACGAAGGGCGACAGCGGGGCCACGAAGGGCATGCATATGGGGCCACCACGGGCGCGAACGAGCGGGGGCCACGAAGGGCATACATATATGGGGCCACGAAACAAAGCGAGGGGGCCACGAAAGGCTGCAACGGGGCCACGAAGGGCAGCGATGGGGCCACGAAGGGCTGCAACGGGGGCATGAAGGGCTGCAACGGGGCCACGAAGGGCAGCCAGGAGGCCGCGAAGGGCTGCAACGGGGCCACGAAACAAAGCGAGGGGGCAACGAAGGGCTGCAACGGGGCCACGAAGGGCAACGAGGAGGCCACGAGGGGCTGCAACGGGGCCACGAAACAAAGCGAGGGGCGACGAAGGGCTGCAACGGGGCCACGAAACAAAGCGAGGGGGCCACGAAGGGCTGAAACGGGGCCACGAAGGGCAGCAAGATCCCGATTCCTAAGTAATCTGTGAAGGAATCCTCAGCGTGAGCGCGACTCCTGGGTGCTTGGGTGTCGGGAGCGCGGCGCTGGAGCAAATTGCAAGAAAATCCTACGCAAGGGCGCTTTTCTTCAGCAAATTTCTAACAAGTCTCCAGCGAGAGCGCGACTCCAGAGTCCCTGAGCGCAGGAGGAGCGATTCCTTAATAAATCGTAAGGAAATCCCAAGCGAGAGCGCGATTCCTGAACAAAATGCGCGGAAGTCTCGGGCGGGAGCAGGGGTCCTGGCTAAAGTGTGAAGAAGTCTCAGGCGGGAGCCGTTATTGTTGTAACCCGGGGGCCAGGGGGTCAGTTTGAGCAGGAAGACTTTCCTTGACAAAAAACAAGGTGCGAGCCCCGGGGGGGCACTTCAATCGGAAAAAAACAATGTGCACCGGTGGGGGGGGGATGAACAAAACTTATTCGTCAAGAATGAGAATTCAACAACAACAACAACAACAACAACAACAACAACAACAACAACAACAACAACAACAACAATAATAATAATAATAATAATATAATAATTTTAAGACCGTTCACCCTTATATGCTCGAGTGTCCAATAACGCGTATTTCCCAAACCCTCGATACCCGCTTTGTCTTCGATCGAACCCCTTTGGGGGGTATACCCTTCTTCCCTGCAGGCCAGGCCCCGGCAAGCGGCGGGGCGGCCGCGGACCGTCGGCCTGGCCAGCGGCAGCGCTGATCGGCGGGGCGGCCGCGAACCTTCGACCCGACCCCAACAAGAACGGACAGGGGACCGACCACGACGACGACGATGACGACGACGACGACGACGACGACGACGACGACGACGACGACGTCGAAGACGACGGCGACGACGACGACGACGGCGACGACGAGCGAAAGCGAGAGCGAAAGAGAACGACAGCAGGGCCACGAAGGGCACGAAGTAGGCCACGAAGGGACACAGCGGGGACACGAAGGGAATGCGTATGGGGCCACGAAGAGCGCGAACGAGCGGGGGCCACGAAGTGCAGATATTGCGGGGCCACAGAAGGCAACTATGGGGCCACTGAGGGTAGCAACTGGGCCACGTAGGACGGTGAGGGGGACACAAATGGCGACAGCGGGGCCACGAAGGGCATGCACATGGGGCCACAACGGGCGCGACTCCTGGGTGCCTGGGTGTCGGGAGCGCGGCGCTTAGGCAAATGGCACGAAATTCCAACGCAAGGACAGTCTTCAGTAAGTTTCAAGCACGTCTCCAGCGAGAGCGCGACTCCAGAGCGCCAGGAGAGCGATTCCTGAATAAATTGTATGGAAGTCCCAAGCGAGAGCGCGATTCCTGAATAAAATGCGAGGACGTCTCGGGCGGAAGCGGGGGTCCTGGTTAAAGTGTAAGGAAGTCTCAGGCGGGTGACGTTGTTGCTGTAACCCGGGGGCCAGGGGCCCAGTTTGAGCATCAAGACTTTCCCTGCCAAAAAACAGGGTGCGAGCGTCGAGGGGCACACTTTGATAAAGAAAAATGGTATTCACCGTTGGGGGGGATCAACATCAATTATCCTTCAGAAATGAGAATTCAACAACAACAACAACAACAACAACAATCACTTTACCCGAACGTTCAGTGTTCTCACCAGTGCCAGGGTTTTCATGCGACGCCAGCCAATACCCCCACTTTGTGGGGGGGCAGTGCAAGCTCTACCAAATATCCACACGACTCTTCGCCACCACCCACACCCAGCTTCCCGCCCTATGACGTTCGGACACTTCACTTCGTGGCCTGCGGACGACCGTGGCTACTACACTGGCGTGGAGTACACACCCACAGAAGTTGTTAAGCCTACGTTCGTACACCCACAGAAGTTGTTAAGCCTTGTTAACCCACAGAAGTTGTTAAGCCTTCCACAGAACATCTGTTGCATATGATGCATATGGTTGCATGATACACATACACATGATACACATGATACACATACACATGATACAAACCATTGGTTTTTTTAGGATTCGGACAGCGCGCGCGGGTAGAAATTTTGAAAAGTCGTGCAGGTGTTTTTCGAGGACCTACGGTGCGATTCGTGTGATTTTATGATGCGCGGTGCTAAAATTCTTAAGAAGCCCAATGGTTTTTGGAGATTTCGGCGTGCGCGCGCGAAGAAAAAACGAATGTGTCCCGCATGGTATTATTTGACAGGGATGATGGCCCTGGCAGGTGCGCAACCGTTGTCGCAGAAGTTCGAAAAAGTTGCTCGCAAAAGCCCGTTTGACAGAAATGTTTAAAAAGTGTTGGGTTTCCTACGAATCCGCAAGAGCGCGCGGGATGAGATTTTGACATTTTTTTGTTGAAAAACCATTGGTTTTTTGATGTTTTTATGTTAAAATCGCTGCGAACACTAAGGTTTTGGAAGGATTTCGTCTTGCGCGCGCGAATGTCCACTTTACCTTATTTTTTGCAAGGGATTCTTGAAATTTGATTATATTAGAACAAGAAATGTCATTTTCTATTGTTTTTTGCAAGGGAAAGCGGATTACAACAAAACAACCGGATCCTGTACACACCCTCTTTTCTGAGGCTTCCTCACGAAAATTATGAAAATGTAGCTGCGGCCTAGGCGGCGCAGGGGGGGCGCGCACCAGGGGGCCCAACAATAATTATTCTTTAGAATAAATAATGTTCAACAACAACAACAAGGTCGACACGTGCACTGCCCACCCGTCCACGGCCCGACAGTCCACGCCTTCACCCACTGGGCGAACACGTGGACGACCCGTGGACCCACTACCCCCCCAAAACACCAACATTTACACCAACACCAGTGCCATGAAATCTTTGAGGGATCCTATAGGATCTCTACGGAAACCTCTAGGCTCCATATGGAATCCTACAGGATCCCTATGGTCACCGTGGCTCTGAGACCACCCTTACGCACCTCCACGTATTCCTGCGACTGGAAGCGATGTGCGCACCGGCGAAGCGACCT